TATTGGGCTCAATATTTGGGTTTGGGTTAGATTTATTGATTAGGGTTAAATGTAGGGGAATGGGGTGGGTTGGGTTGGGAGTTGGGTTGGGTTGGGTTGGATAGTATTGGATTAAATTTAATTGTAATTGGATTGGATTTGGGTTTGGGTTTAGGTTTAGGTTTGAGTTTAAAGAATAAATTAATTTTAAAATAAAAAAATTTTTTTTTTGCGGGGATGGGGATCCCCGCGAGGCCCCACGGGGCGGGGAAAATTCCCCGCGAAATTTCGCAGGGAGAAAATGGTCCCCATCCCCGCCCCGCGGGGAGGAATATTTTTCTCCGCCCCATCCCCGTGACGGGGATCCCCGCGGAGCCCCACGGGGAGCGGGGAGAATTGCCATCCCTAGTGAGTCCCACAATGCCACGTTGTAAGAAAAAAATTAAAAAAGCTTGCAAACGTCTGACCGTCTTGCTTTTAACGGTCAAAACAGATTCCGTTAGCCATGAGATGTACGGAGGGACGAATTCAGCACTTTTTGAATGGTAAGGAGAGGACATGTTAAACTGAAATAAAGTAGAGGAGGACATGAGGCGATTTCATAGTAGAAAGATTAAATTGAACTTTTTAAAATAGTAGAGGGATGACAGTTAGTTTTAACCCATATTTGTGCTTATCTCTTTAAGAATGAACCGTTTATTTATTTATTATTATTTATTTTGTTTTGTTCTTTTAGCGTTTATCGTGGGTCGGTGGGCTCCCGGTATTAGATAATTTTTATTGTTTATTTATTTATTTTGTTGTTCTATAGTAGATCAAACACAACTTAAACATTAATCTAGTTAAAAATTAGACAAAAAAAAATTAAACCAACCCAAACCACAATTGGACCTAGTCCCACTCATGAGTCTGGGAGAAAGTTTTAGATCTTGATCCCAGTTTGCCACTTTTTCTTAATTAAAGATTCCAACTTTAGTTTTTCCACCGAAGTTGTCCAACACTTTTTCATGGGATTCGATTTCATTTTTCCTTTTTGAAAAGTAGCAAGCAGGTTTGATTTTCTAGAGACAAAGATAATATAAAATATTAAACACATATTAGAACTTAGAATACGTTGGATTTTTCTTTTATTTAATGAGAGTAACATTAGATTTTTAATTATGTAATTTAACAAAGTATATTAGTCTCACTAGAAAGTTGAACTTAACCATGGTTAACATAGGAGTTGCATTTGTGTGTAAAATCATTTCATGTACACGTTTGATTTACTGTTTTTGTCTTAAAATAATACATTTTTTGGTTTAGAATTTATTTTAAAATAATAGTTATTTTTTCAATTTTGAGGGAATAAATATTTTTTTCTTATTAAACCTTATGATTATCTCTTGATTTATCTATCTTATTATAAAAGTCTCTTTATTTTTATTTTTTTAAGGATAAAATAAATAAAAATATAAATTGTCCTCAAATCTTTAATCCTAAAATAAAAATAAAAAATATCTATTATTTTGAGATAAAAAGAATATATTAATATATGGTTAGTCTAGAAGCAAACTATTGATCGAAGAATCTCAATGTCATACCCCATATGATCAAAACGTATCTTATAGTTTAGATTTTTTTTAAAAAAAAATTCTGAAATAATATATCAACATTATGATGTCTATGCTTTTTTGATTAACTAAAATAATTTTATCGAATGGTAACAGAAAGGGTATTTCAACTAATATAGCACATTTGTGAAGGATTGATCAAAGCGTTCTGCTGGGCTTGTGAGATTTTTTTTGTTTCAAGTTTGTTATGAAATTTTGAAGTCTTGAGTTTTGTGTGTGAGTATGTCTATTTTGAACTCTTCCTTATACTAGTATAAGGGTTTTTTTTTTTTTTTTTTCAAGCTGTTGTGAGAATGTGTTTTGAGTCTG